ATCTGATCTACTTGTGGCTTGTGAAACCTGTACCGTGGCTTCCGACTTGGTCGCGCAATAGACGTGCTATTCGTAGACTTTTGAAAGCATTTTGCACTGTCCCTCCTCATAGACTTTTGATGAACTTGTAGGTCTACCATATATGTGGTTTTGCCCTAAAATGGTATCCATTCGCCTGGAGGGGAAAGCTGTTGACTCGCTAAACGTGGCCCAGTTAAATGATGGACCACTTCCAACGAGCAAGCTATCCTTAGTGGCCTTTCGCAAGGATCGGTTTGGAGCCATTGTTCTTCCCGATTTAGGTACACGACTTGCCGGGGGAGCTTAGAGTGTCATCACTAACGTTTGAGGATGAACGTAAGCTCTTGATTATCATGCATATCCTTGAACATTCCGAGGCAACTTAGAGTGCATGGACAAGCCAAGGTAACGGTCTGCCTTTTGCTTAATGTTCACAAATGGGGCAAGTGTTCTGCTTCCAAATAATAGCTATTGGTCCTCCCGCTAGCTATGAGATCGCGGGTGGTGAAATCCCTATATGCACTCAACAGATTGATTTAGATCGCCTCCAATCAGCAGCCTTTCACTCTGGCAGTAGTCGAAGGAAGGCTGTTTGCGGTGGTACTGTTTAGTTTGCTTTATTGCCGATTTAGTGTCTTAAAAGCTCAGCATTTCTTAAATTTATTCTCGACCTTAGTGCAGCCCAACTTGTCCAGCCAACCCTATCCCAGACAAACGGATAGGGTTTCACAAGTGAACACTAGGTTTGCTTAGTGTTTACAAGGATAGAAGTATACCGCAAGTTAGTGTGCTTTGTTTACGTATCCACCGCACTAACGAAAAAATAGAAAGGGCTTCATTCTCTCCTGCCCTGGTTTGACGAGTAAGATGGGCCCTGCTTCCCTTGGCTATTTAACCCCGATAAGCCATCTAGTCTCCGCGTTCGTCTGTGGAAGCTGCACAAACCGCGATTTGATAGAGTTAAAAGGAAAACTCATTTGTGGCACAGTTATAATGCGCTTTAACTCGCTTCCATCTTAAGTGCTTCGAGAAGCAGTAGTTTTTGGTTATGCGTATCGGCTCGGTGCTCTTGGTTCCTAACATCAAACCTTTTCTTTGCCTTATTGACTCAGCTTCAGCCTTCATTTTTAGTTATTCATACATGTAGAGATTATACTTAATTATTTGGGTTGTCTTTCTTGCCTCCCGATATCACTGTTCCTCCTTTCTTTACGTACGCGCCGTAGATCGGACAGCTAGTGCAGGATATGTGGACAAAAATTGGGTTGTCAATGGGTGATGCGGTCTTTGTTTTAGGCGCGTCCACATTTCATAGCCCTTCTTTAACTCCTGCTTTAACGACGGGCTGAAGCAGAAGCACGCACGATGTAAATCTATAAATAAATAAATAAATAACTAAATAAATAGTAAATCTTAAACTTTATACAGACACACCAAGTCAGGCATGACCAACGTTTACAGGCAGGTGATTTTCACAACGATACTTTGGGTTCAATCATGTGTAGTGCAAACGGTCAAGGCACTACAGGTGCAGTACAACGGTGCATGTAGACGGAGAGTAACATATTCTTGTACTTGTCGGGAAAAAGTTGAAATATGATTCTAGTCGACTTGCCAGTAGGAAGTCGTGGGCAGTGACTTTATTCCGTGGCGAGCCACATCCGCCACGTCGTAGTGTTGTTCAACAGACATTTGTGGCTTTGTATAGGGAGAACGCTTGTCACGCGAAACCCACCACATCCTGCAACACTGCCGTAAAACTTTTTGAACACTAATGTATAACTGGCAAAGCCACTTGATGACTGATTTTTTTATTCCATTTTTCACAGTTAAATGACTTCCAATTTCCTCTGTTGGCTGGACAGATAGCTTAATCAAGGCCGCCATAATTGTTGAAGCCGGTTGAGGGTGGGAACAGCACGAATAGTCGTCTTGTTGTGAGTCCAGGTGAGCAAAGTTTCCAACTTTTTGCTGTCTGGATTTTTCAGATGTATAATTTTCGGGAGTGTGAAGACGTGTCCAGCTCTTCATGCTGGACAACAGTTGTGGTGGTGGTTGCAGTGGAGTCCCTTTGGTATACAGCCATGCTCTATGTAGGTCTGTAGTGTTCATAGCTTTTTAGTTTTTTTGCGCTTTTCTCATTTCCTTTTTCTATGCGTCTTGTACAGTTGTTTTAATTGACCGTTTTTTCATATACACAATACTCGAACTCGAACGGCGCGTTCTGCTTTCCGGGGGCGGCGTGTTGCGATTGCTTTGTGTGCTTGGAATGTCTGAGCTTCGCGGAACCAACACTGGAATAACGTATCAGGGAGTGTGCAATATCAGTGGAGTTAGTCCAACCGTCACTACTGAAGGGCAGCGTGTTGATACCTTTATCTGACACTAATCCATTCCTTCCGGTGCGGTAGTTTAAGACTAGCTTTCACTCCACTACAGGTCCTTGTCGACTATTACGTCCGGCTTGGGCGAAAACTTTTCCTTGGTCCAATCCCAGATCTCCAAGAAGTTCCGGACCTCGGAGAAAAAGGAAAGTTAGTGACAACCGAGACAAGACCGCCATAACAGGCGTGTAATTACAATTTGTTAAAGTCTTGTTACAAAATTTGGAGTTGAGAAAAAATCATGTACACTGTGCAACGATGATTATGCTGAGAGTGCCTTTTGAATGTCCTATAGAATCAATAGCCGTATGGGTAGATTGCTAACATCTACGCAGAGACAAGAGCGTTGTACCAGTAAGTAATCCACGAAGTATCAGTTTAGTATGCGGTGACAATTGCTTGGGGAGAGGTGAAAGAAAGTTAGAAGCCTGGTGGTGATTGTATGGTGAATGAACAGCACGTAGCCAGCCTAATACGATAGGGAGTGCAGAATAAGAGTTAAAAATAAATAGTTTGCTGCGAGAGAGATCTAAAGGTCAATTGGTGGTAAGGCAGTGGAAAGATTGGATGCAGACATTCTAAGAGAAGCAATTTTATACAGCTAAGTAGTGGCTCCTAACAAGCGCTGGATAATCACGGCTGCATGCAGCCTAGGATCACTAGCTGCTTCTAAACAGAGGTGCGACATTTAGGACGATTGACAGATGATGGCGCTAGGAAAGTCTATCAGTGGCCAGATGTAGCCATTCCAATCAGTCACTTGATCACTGGTGTATACCTATAGGGTCACTGAATGCATCAGCAAGCCATCGGAGGTAAGTGATACAGACGATGAAGACGATGAAGATGAAGCAAAGAGATGCGGTGGGGTCCTAAAGCGCATATGCCTCATCTGTGGGAAGCGGAGAGAGGAGGACGATATGTGGGGATTAAGAAACGTATATCACTCAGAAGAAGCAAATGGGATTCGATGCCTCGGTCCTAAATTGGCACGAAGGTAAGAATCCATGGAGGACAAATACATGCAAGTTGGCTTCAAATGAAGAAGGATTGCAACAGAAAGCAAAGGAAGGAAAGAAAAGGGTTGGTAAAAGTGGTCAATTGAGGAGAAATGTTAAGCCAACGACGTTCTTCAGGTGAGGATTCATCCTTGTTAATAAAAAGGAAGAAAACTAATGCCCAGCGTTGTAATTGAGGTAAGGGTGGCAGAGGGTTGCGCCGGAATAGTTATATAGCATGCCGAGCAAAGCACTAAGGATAAGGGGCACAGAGTGTTGGAACTGCAGAGCCTAATTCGTTCATGGCTTGGATGTCTGGATGCAAGCAGAAGGAAGGAGGCTGGTGAGACAAGGCTAGATTAGGGTTGCGCCCGAAGTGTCGTCCGTCCAATTGATAAAAGAATGCAAACAAAGAGCGCGTAACGAAAAGAATGGGGCTGGAAAGAAAAGAAGCCATTGCGGAGAAATGGAAAATCCTACAAAGATCTCGACGTGCTATGAACGGACCGTTGGATCCGTCGATGGTTCATAGGTATGGGCTCAGTAATCGAAAATCAGGGGACCATGGAGACGAGACCAAGAGTTCGGCTCGTTGAAAGCCGTATTAGTAAGATCTGGGTACAATAGGAGGCATCGGCGGAAATAGACGTAAAGGAATAACGGGGACATAATAAAAAGGATGAATCATGACCAGCAATGATCCGGAGGTGAGGGTAACAGAGCATTGCGTCAGCAAAGACTAGATCAGTTAGATCTAAAAGTCCGTAAGAAGGGTACCGTTCAGACTAGACCGGGTAAGTCAGCAAGATGAAGCTAGGCCGCCAATTTGAGGGTGGAATAAAAGTAACGACTGTCATCAGCAGAGAAGCAGTTTGGGACGAAAGTGGCCATATGAGAAGGCAGTTAGCATACCAAGCCCAGGTCTCAGGATAAGGGGAACAGAGTATTGGGGCTGCAAGGGCTAGATCGTTAAGGTCTCGGATGTCTGGAACCAGTCAGAAAGCAAGCAAACGCTCTGTTGATGAGCAGTGAAAATGCACGGATGTGCTCGAGGTGCTGTAAAAAGAACGTTGTGTCTACCGAGCCCTGCTCATTGGGGTCACAGTAGTCAGAACGTAGGAGATCATTGAGACAAGACTAGAATCTTGGCTCTTAGAGAAAAAGGCGTATTAGTAAGGTTTGAATACTAACAGCGAGCATTGGCCGAAATAGACATGTTAAGTAGGAAGTGGGACATAATGATAAGGCTGCATCCGGACGATCGATGTAAATCAGCACTTGTTGTTCCAGCTGGTTTTTATGCGTTTCAGCCGATGTCCTACCGACTCGAAAACGCCCCAGCTACGTTCCAGCGAGGGACGCCCATAGCATTATCAAGAATTATACCCGGTCGCGTTCTAATTTCTCTGGATGGCTTCATTGTCCGTGGAAGGACGGCAGCTAAGCAAAAGCAGTCTGGATTTTTGTGCTGGATCACTGGCTTCAGCTGCGATTAAAAGTTTAACCCTCTAAGTGCCAATTTCTAAAAAAGAAGTCGCTTACTTAGGCCACATTATTTCTAATGATGGAGTACACTGCGACCCAGCAAATGTTAAGCGTGTCCGTTGGTAGGCCCGTTCCAAAGAACACCGATAATGTACGCAGCTTTCTTGGGCTCGCTTCGTACTATCGGCGCCTTGTGCAGCACTTTGTTACTATGGCTGCCATGTTGAACGAAATCCTGAAAGCAACCCCAGCCTTCCCTTGGGGGAAGCGAAACAGAAAGCAGGTGAATGTTTTCGAAATTTGTTTGGTGAAGCACCAGCACTTGCATTTCCAAATAGACGTCCACCAGTTGGACCCTTTATGTTAGATACAGATGTCATCGGCACAGGCCTCGGAGCTGTAACTTGGCAGCGGACACCAGATGCGAAGGAACCAGTGATTGCGTATGCTAGTCGAAGGCTTTCACAAAGGGGAACGCAATTATTATGCAACCCGTAAGTAAATGCTTGCTTTAATATTTTTATCAAGCGTGGTGGTCAATACCTTCTTGGTCGTAAAATTATCGTGCGTACCGATCATTAATCATTGGTTTGGCTGCAAAATTTCCACGACACTGAAGGTCAGGGTGCCCGGTGGCAAGAACAGCTGCAGGAATACGACTTTGCGTGGCGATATTAGCCGGGTGTAAGGCACGGGAACACTGCTGCCTTATCACGATGGTCTAACAGAAACCGTGGGCCGTGTCTATCGTGAACAGCTGCGTGTATGTTCGTTGTCATTGTTGATGCATCAGAGGAAGATGAACGGATCTGTATGCAGTCAACCGACCCAGAACTGAGCATCCTGTGCAATCGCGTGTTTCAACACAAGGACCGACCAACACAACTAGAACTGGCTGACGCAAGTTAGGAAGAGAAATGCTTTTGGTTACTCTGGCCTCATTTAGAGGGCATCCTGTATTTGCAAAACAGACCCAGTTATTTACGCAAAATAATCGTCCCGACAGCCGCGACTCAGGAAGTTATGCGACGCATACACGAGGAATTAGGGCATGCGGGACAAAAGAGAAGGGAGGCAGCAATTCAGCGTCGTTCTTCGTGACTTCATTTGCGACGTGACATCGCCATTTACTGCCAGGCATGCGTTGATGTTGCGAAATCAGGTACCCTGCAAATACCCGTCGTGGTCCGATTCAGCCGATGACAGCTGAGTTTCCTAATGAGTTCGTAGGCATTGACATCATCGGCCCCTCGACAGACAGCACGAGAATGTCGCCATGAATTGGTTATGTGGATTACTTCGCAACGTGCTACGAAGTCGGACCGCTGCGTAGTGTGGATGCTTGGAGTACGGCGAAGGCTTTTAGCGACTGGGGGCGAGGTACGGAGCATCCTGTCAGTTACATTCGGATCGCGGAGCAAATTTTGAGAGCGTACTGATGAGGGAAATCTGTCCCCTATTCAAAATTCGGAACACTCGCACGACGGCATATCACCCGGAAGGGAAGGGATTTGTTAAGTGCACCAACCGTACGTTGAGGATGTTACAAAAGTCATTATTAAATGAGCAGGCGCCCAGAGAATGGGATACGAAGTTACCCAAATGTGTGTTGACGTACCACGCTTCCGTTTATTCCGCCGCTGGTCAAATGCCACATCTCATGATGACGAGGCGAAAGCTACGACTACCTTCAGATACGCTTTTGCCGACCTCTTATCATGAACTCCTGATAGCGGTCGACCACATACTTCGGATGCAGTCTAGCCTGGTCCGCGCACGTCAGCTTGCACAGTCACTCCTAACCACATTGCAGCGTTATCAGGAGGCATAGTTTGACCGGAAGGGTTTTGGGGATTCGTTAAAGCCTGGTGTTGCGGTCAGGCTTAACGGCTTGGCGACAACTGCGGGCGTTCCGGCCAAGTTCCGCCGCGATTGAGAGGAACCATATGTGGTGAAGGACGTATTATAAGATATAACGTTTAGAATCATGAGATCTTATGCGCCTGGCTCTTCCACCGTCGTATATTTCAACCGGCTACAACCAGCTGGGAAATCCGTGGTGCTACGAACAGGGCCTGACGACGAGGGGAAATAATGTAGTAAATCATTAGGCATATGGTTGCCGACTAACACCTTGCCTTTTTCTATTCGAGATCAACTGGCGCAAAAATCCCAAAGGGACCATTTAAGGTAACGAAATGACGGGAATTGCACGTACAGCTAGTGTTGTTTGACTCACTCATTATTCCCTCAGTTTCCCCGTATGTGATCCTGCCCGTAACCTGACTACACACTTGCTCCCGCGCCCGACTGTTCCCTTTCTTCCAGTGTGCGAGGACGTGCATTCCCTTGGCCTCAGTTGCTGTTATTTCTTTCGTAACTGTTTCTTCTTTCCACCATCACCGTGGAATCAAACCTCTTGGTTTTTGGTTCATATTTGCGTGTGAACTCACACTTGCGTTTTGACGTCTACTAAATGAGTTGCTAATTTTTAAAGGAGATGTAGCTTTACGGGGGCGTTGCGTTTGGGTTCGCTAGCCATGCTGATGATCATCGCGTGAATAAGATTTACAAACATTGAGATGGAATATTGATTGCAAAAGGAATCAATCGCAGTTGAATAACATTTGCATGCATTTCACACACACTGTGCATTGTTTGAAATGGTACTGAAAAGACCAGGCTTATTTTATTCACGTTCGCTATGTGGTATGACGCTGCTGTGTTTTACCGTATGTCTTGTGCGCGCTATAAAAGCGCTTAGGAAGTAAAGGGTGCGGCGCAGAACAATGAGTTCCCAACGTCATGCAGTTTTTTCAAGTAATCGTTGGTGACTCCGCAACCTGAGAGGTTCCCGTACCAATATGTGAATCGCTATAAGTCGCTAGGCAACCGTTGCGCGCGCTTTGAAATTTTGAAAAAGCTCTATCTTGAAATTTCTACCTTCAAATTTGGCTTGGATGCGTGCTCTAGAGTGACTGAGTGGGAAATTTTTACTCTGCTCCATCAAATATTAATCCAAGATATCTTGGAGCTTCGTTAACCGCTCACAACCAAATCTTTCCTGACGTCGCTACGGTCCGCCTTTCCACATCTAGCCCTTCTACCAGCAAGAGAACCAGGGCTTTCGACGCTTCGACGTTTGGGCTGCTATCTTTGCTGCTGCATACTTGAACCTACCCGTCCCAAAGGCTTCTTGTCTTCCGTGAGTTTGTTCTTTGCTGATTTCTCCTGCATCTGCTTACTCGTTTCGCTTTTTGCTTATTCTTGGTTCCACCTTCCAAATAACTATGGCTCTTGATACTAACGATAAATGTGGCGAGCACAGTTGTGGCACTGCAGTCACGGAAGGCATACAGTGTGACCGATGTTTATTATGGTATCATAGCACCTGCTCTAGGTTAGACCATTGGTCCATTGATCTGTACACCCAGCATCCCCAACTGAAGTGGATCTGTTTTCACTGTGTGTGCCTAGCTGATACTTGTGCTCGCTTATTACGCGAGCGGCTTGCTGGTACTCCACAGTTGCCTGATGTTCAGAGGGTAGCTGACGCGAAGTATCTGCAGCGGCTCTCCACCGCAGAAAACGTGATCAGTGACCAGGCTTTGCTCATAGATGTACTGCGAGTGAAGATTGACGAATTGCGCGATTATTTAACTAGCTACGCTCGGAGTGAGGAGATTGCCATGGGCAGGCAAAGAAATGTTCTTATCTACAATCGGGAGGAGCCGGTGATACACGAGGCAAAGACTCGACGAGACCTGGACAGAAGACGAATACACGACATCCTCCGCATAGCCGGGATACCTTTAAACGTCGGTATCAAAAGTGTGCATCGTGTAGGTAGCTGGAGAGAGACTGGTCCACTGCGTCCGCAAGGATTTGCTAGGCCGATTCTGGTTGAATTTAGGAATCCTGTTTATGGTGATCAAATGCTTAACCGAGCCGGCTTAATCGAGCGTCAGACTAATGGCCGGTATCAGGTGGCACCGGATACACTTAGCTCACAAGCCAAGGTCCCGCGGGTATGTCAGTCGGGTGATATTAATAACCGCTTGGCTGGCGTGTCTGCGACCTTGGTTAAGGGTGCTCCTTTACGTGATCCCGCATTGCATCAGTGCCTACCAGAGATGATTGTCCCACAGCAGCGGAGGTCGTTCCTTCGAACTACCACACCACAAATTCAGTATCAGATGCAGGTACCGTGAAAGGTGCTTCCTCACAAGTTAGTTCACCCGGAGGTACTTACAACCGATTGATTGTACACCCTGCATCTCCGGCCGCTGGGGTCAGAGTCAGTCAGCAACATGCCATGATTACACCAAAAGGAACTGGGTGGGACTGCACTCCTACCACAGCGGCAGTTGTCTGCTCGAGTCCTCAAAAAATGCAGGTTGCAAGGGGAATAAGTCGCGAGTTACATGTGACATCGACCAAAGTTTCACTGAACGGAAGTACGACTTCCAGCTTGTTACCCGGGGAAAGTTGCGGGGTTGCGGACATGAGCTTACAGGTGGCGCATCCAGGATTATTTGATGCCACTCGCATAATGTCAGCTGCTCCGGAACTCAAGGACACTACGTGCATCACGCTGATCGGTTTGGGAAACCAGCGCTGTGAATCTCCCAAGGCTGACCTTGAAGGAAACTTGGAAGGCAGCGTTGCTAGACCTTCTAAGTTAAAGAGAAAGAAGCAAGTCGGTCGTTTACGAAACAACTCAAGTCGGACGGAACCTGACAAGGTTTCTGCTCCTGTTGACCTACAAGAGCCTAATCTTGACCCAGCATTGCAGGCAGGGAACGATAATGACGCGGCGTCAAAAAACGGGTTGCTCCCTCGGGTGCTGCGCCCGAGGGGAAACAACTGCGTCAAGCAGGACTAATTGTATGGTATACCAATTGCTGCAGTGTGAGGACCAAATGGGGAGAGATGGTGCGGCGCTGCGGATGTGCGGATGTAGTTGCCTTGACAGAGGCATGGCTTTCTCCGAGCGGCATGGTTAGCGACCTGCTGGTAGATTTCGTGAGTTACCGAGTAGATAGGTCTGATCACCACACTGGCAGGGGAGCACTATTGCTTATAAAGCGCCAGTATAGTCATTGGGAGGCTCCGTTTATGATTAGTAATACGAACGTTCAGGTGGTGTCTTGTTACTTAAGGATGATGGGCAGGTTGGAGATCTTTATATGTGTCTACCGCAGTCCATCGTCCACACGAGAGGAGAACAAAGAGCTCGGCGCACTATTGAGGCGCGGAGTGGTTGCTGCGCCTAATTTCCTAATAGTTGGTGCTCTAAACTTTCCTCATGCGGATTAGCAAGGCACCGCAAACAGAGCGGATACCTTGGAACAGGAACTGGTTGACTGGATGCACGAGAATGCACTTGAACAATACATCAATATACCGACCAGGTGCCGAATCGGGAGTGCCCCTCCACGTTGGATGTTGCCAGCACCAAACACGGTCGTTTCGCAGAGCTACAAGTGGAAGCAGCTTTAGGTAGGAGTGATCACTGCGTCCTCACTTTCTGCCTAGATACATTGAAGCCTGCACGACATCCTCGCCTCGTGAGAAATTTCAGCCGCATTGACCACATGAACTTGAGGGATAGAGCCCTCCAGGTCAATTGGATTCCTGACCAGGTACAAGCATCTTTAGAACAAAGGTGGTCTGTGCTTAAAACTGGTTTAGTACAACTATTGAATGAGCTTGCTCCTCTTCGTCCTGCGAGACAATTCAGCAAGCCTCGATGGAGGAGAATTGATAGAGCTATAAAGAGACGAAATGAGAAGTGGAAAATATTCAATGAGGCCAGGGGCTTTGGACGATGTCTACAGTACACAAAAAGCCGGAATACAGCTATCAAGGTGCAACGGCAGGCTAAATACTCTTATGAGCTTCGGCTGGCCCGGTATGCGAAAACAAATCCAAAGTGTTACTACGGCTATGTTCAGTCTAAAGCCTCCCTAAGAGAGGACGTTAAGTGGCTAATTATGGAAGATGGCAGCCAGGCTGTGGAAGTCAGAGATAAAGCTGAAATGCTGCTAAGAGTCTTTCAGAATCTGCATAGGAGCGACAATGGATGTGCTGCACCATCGCAGCCACACTGTGTCAGCAGTTATATAATGCGGAACATCGTGCGGACTGCGCAAGAGGTCTTTACCGTTATGACTAACTTGAATCCCTTCAACTCAGCCGGTCTTGAGGATGTACATCCGGCAATAGTCAAGCCACTAGCTGACATCCTTCAACTTCCTGTTCTGGAGCTGTTCAACTTGTCGCTCCAGGAATGCAAGTTGCCACGAGACTGGAAGGAAGCAGCCATAGTTGCGATTCACAAGGGTGGCTCCAAATCGGAACCCCTTAACTACAGACCCATCAGTCTAACCTGTGTTCTGCTCAAGTGTTTAGAGAAGCTTATAAGAAACCGGATTTGTGAGCATTTGTCGGAACACAGTCTACTTAGAGCAGAGCAGCATGGTTTCATTAAAAAGAAGTCGTGCCTCACTAATCTACTGTGCTTCCTCGATGAGATTACTCGATGTCTTGACGACGGGATTCCGGTAGAGGTCTGCTATCTTGACTTTAGCAAGGCTTTCGACTCAGTAAATCACCGTTTCCTACTTGAAAAATTAGCATGGTTCGGAGTGCATCCTAGACTTCTGTCTTGAGTGTCAGAATTCCTAATGTGGAAGAACGTTTCGAGTTAGAATCGGTGGTGTGAGTTCTAGTGTGGGCGTGGCCTACAGTGGAGTACCCCAAGGATCGGTGCTAGGTCCACTTTTGTTTCTTACGTTTATAAACGACTTGGCTCCTCTTATTGAAGACCCCTGTTATATCTTTGCGGATGACTTGAAGCTAGTCAGCAGGGGCAACCGTGCAACACTGGCCAAGGATATCATCAGTGTGGTAAACTGGTCGAAGCAATGGGACTTGCCCTTGAATGCAAGCAAGTGCCAAATTCTGACCACTAGTAGAGACGTACTTGCAGTTCAGACTTCCTTTGGGCCCTTCCCCTTACAATGCACTACCCAGGCACGCGATTTAGTGAGTCATCATGACGAGCAGCTTCAAGCCTTCGATGCAATGTCGATACGTCGCCAACAAAG